CGCCCCGCTCCGCGCCGCTCCGCTCCGCGCCCCTCCGCCCCGCCGGGAGCTGCCCCGTCAAAATGGCCGATCCCGCACCGGCGCTCAACTCCGCTGTGCTCTCTCCCTCCAGCAAGATGTTCATCGGCGGCCTCAGCTGGCAAACCTCACCAGGTAACCCCCGCCCGCCGCCCCCTCCCCACGCGTGTCCCGCCCCGCGTGGGCCGCGTCCCGCCGCGCCGGGCCCTGCCCGTGCCCCCCCAGCCCTGACCCTCCTCTGCCTCTCTGCTCTCTCTCCGCAGACAGCCTTAGAGACTATTTTAGCAAATTCGGAGAAATTAGGGAGTGTATGGTCATGCGGGACCCCACCACCAAGCGCTCCAGGTAAAACCGCCGCCCACCCCGCTCGGGCTGACAAACTTCGCGAGTTGCGGTCGGGGCGGGTGGACCCGCAGCCCCCAATCCCACCCCAAAATCCCACCCCCGCATCCCTCCCCGCGCGTGGGGCGCTGCGGGAGGGCTCTCCCCGCCCGCATCCCTCCAGCCCGGAGCAGGAAACAAAGCGGCCGGTGCCGCCGGAGAGGGGCCGGGGGTCGTAGCCGGCCGGCCCCCGCACCCGGAGGCTTCGGGGGAGGGGAGAGGAAGGAGGGGGGACTCAGCGGTTTATTTTTATGACTTCTCCCTTTGGTTCTAATTCTCATCACCACCACCCCCCCCCCCCCGCCATCCCCTCGCTCTTTGTCTCTCGCAGAGGCTTCGGGTTCGTTACGTTCGCGGATCCGGCGAGTGTAGACAAAGTCCTGGCTCAGCCGCACCACGAGCTGGACTCCAAGACGGTAGGTGCTGCTCGGGGCTGCCCGCCGCCCTTCCCGGCACGGCGGGGCCGGCACCCGGCCGCTGCGAGCCCCGCTCGGGCCGCTGTCAGCCTGTCATTGAACCGGGACCTTGCGTGGCTCGGCTTTTCCTTCGGACTTTTTTTCTAGACTTTGCCTTTTAACTTGCCAGAAGTGGTAACTTTATTTTTATTTTATTTTTATTTTTTTTATTTTTCTCGAAATCCGAATTCGCCCATACCGACCGCTGGCTCCTCCCCCGGCCTTATATTTTATTGAGCGGTGACATTGAAAAAGCTGTGGAGTAAAATCCAACTTTTTTTGGTGTTGGGCTGCGGCATGCTTTCTGCTAGGAACTTTGTGATTCTTTTGATTGATTATTTATGTTTTGTTGAGCGCGTTTCAAGGTGTGAGTGACTTACTGTCAAACCGTGGAAGCTGCTGCTCGTGTCATTTCCCAAAGTCATTTTTTGGAGAGGTCCCCTCACCTGTGATGGCAGGGCCCCTGTGAAATGCACACGGTAATTTATGGGAAGCTCTGCAAGAGCTGGAGAGTGGATGTGGTAGAGAAGCACAAGTCCTAATGTGTTGTTGTTCTCCAGTGCTTTTCGCTGCGCTCAGTCTCCAGTGCATAATATAAGGAAAAGAAACATGAGATGCAGCTGATTTTTTCTGATTTTTTTTTTTTTTAATAAACATTACATTTGTTTGGGGTTTTTTAAACAAAAATTCCACACCTGAGTTTGTCCCCTGCCCCAATATGGTGTTTTCAGTGTTGGGTCAAACAAAAGGCAGGTGCGGCTCTGGGCCCTGTTTTCTCCCTGTAATCAAGGCCAAGCAAAAAGATGAAGTTTTGTGCCTCCTAGTTCGTTGTAGTTTCCAGCCTCAGCAAAGCTGGGAGGGGAGGGGGGAAGGACACTGGTAGAGGTCATCAGTGCTCTGGTGCTGCTGGCTCTGGAGGGGGCTGTGTTTTGGGAAGAGAACTGTCTGCAGAGACATTCTGCTGGGCAGATCCAGCATGGTCCTTACTGTCACTGGGGTTTATAGTCTGTGTTCTGGGGCTTAAGGGTTTTATTTTAACCTGAGCCTGGTGTTAGGGGCAATCCTGTCTCGGTGCTGCAACATCTCGTGGGTGCCTGTGTGTGCGAGATGGTAGTTAAATGAAGAAAGGGAGAAGCAGGGAGCAAGCATGAGGATATGTTGGTTTTGTTTTTTTTTTTTAATGTAATTTATATGGAAACAAAAAGCCTAAAGCTCTTGTTGAAGCAGGTGGAATCTAGTGTTTTAATTCGACCTACGGATTCTGCTGGGCTTGCCTGAACACGAAGCCCATGCTTTCACATGCCTTAATAATTTGATTTTAGGTTTAATCAGATATGGTAAGATAACTGATTCAACCGTGCTCCTGAAATTAAACTCACCAGACTTTTCATGTACAGCTATATTCTCTATGTGTTTTTAAAGATAAATTTAGATAAGAAGAACAAAGGCAAACAGTATCTTGAACGAGAGTTTAAAAAAAAAAATCACGGGAGGACACCCTGTCATATTTCTGACTATAATTAGGTCCTCCCCCAGCTTTTTTCTTGTATCACAGTCTAGTCCCTGCTATGTATTAATTTGCTCTTCTCTGGGGGAGGGGTGAAGAGCTTCACCAGAGCAAATCTGCCTCGGTTTTGGTTGTGTGATAATGACTGAATCAATCCAAGTACGAAACTGACCTTAGAATCAGTAACGCAGCTTAAAAGTAAAGCACAGAGCCAGGCAGGTCCTTTCAGGCGTGTATTTGTAGAGTATTGTAGTAACTGTTGTGCGGTATAACAAGGCATTTGACTCTGTTTCAACGTTCAGCACAGGAGGCAGATCGGTTGGGTATTGGCATGGAAACGTCGCTCTTGTTTACAGTTACGTTAAAAGCTTTGTTTAGGTAATGGCCATTCATATCAGAAATAGTATTATAGTCATTTCCTAGAGGACTTGTAGATACAGTAAGTAGAATTGTACCTAACTAACTAATTTTTTTTTTGGTAGAACTTTGGTTTTTTTGTTTTGGTTTTGGTTTGGTTTGTTTTTTTTTTCCCTTTTTGGTTGTTGTTTAAATAGTTGACAGGGTTATGCAAAAGGTATGGATTTGCCACGTTCATTGCTAGTGTTTGTCTTCAAAGGCTGATGGTGTTTATCCAAAAGGTTTTGGGAAGGAAAAGTCAGTTCTTTTAGAAAATCTGTTGCTGTGGTGCAAGGGACTCCATGCTCTTTGAACTGACCTTCAAAAATGAATGTGTTGCTTTGGAGTTTAATGGCTCTCCCAGCTTTTTACCAGCAGGACTTTGCAGTGATGTCCCTCTGGTGGGTCTGGTGTTCTTTGGTGGGAAAACTTGTCGTTTTGGAGCAAACATAGAAATGTCCATATTTTTCCACCTTTGGGTATCACTGTGGAAAATCCGTACCTGTTGTATTTCCCCAGTAGACAAATGCCTAGTCAGTACTGAATATATTTGTAGATAATGTTAATCTCTGTGAAAAGGTTAGCTTTCTAGATAAATAATTTTACTTTCTATGCTTTTTGAACAATAAAGTGGCATGTAATCACTCATTTCTCAGGTGTGTCCTAAAAAAGACGCAGTATTTGTATCTGATGGAGGCAAATCAGTTTATCAGCTGCACATCAAACGTCTGCGGTATTTCCCATTTTGACAAATTAATTGAGTAAAACTGCTTTTTAGGAGAGGCCCGTGGTTATTTAGCAGTGACAGGAATATTTATCACCACAGGAATAACAATACCAAATGGAAACATCTCTTCTTCATCAGCGTTTACTTAAGGTGGGGGAAGCACAACAAAAGCCAAACCCAAACTGTGAAAGAAAGCCTGTCCTTCTGAGTATGCTTAACACAGCCAGCATTAGTGGCATCAGTTGGTTGTACAGACAAGGGCAGCCCTGACAGCAGTTGCAGGTTGCACAGTTCAGGTGGGATCCAGTACTTCAAACATGCTTTTCCAGACCCTTTATGTAGAGGATGTCTGTGTGCAGGTGCAGCTGAGAACCAGAAGTGAAACCAGCAGCACACAGGCATTTTCCTGTGATTTGGGGGTGCTCCTGTTCACAGGGCTGATGTTTTTGTTTGCATGCAGCCTTCTGCCTGCGTGTTCCCTCCAGGCACAACTGGGTGCCATTTCTTTGCAGCTGCAGTGGTGCCTTTTTGGTTTCATGTAATTTTTGAATGGGAGAGCGGAGTCCCTTTTTAGAACTGACCCCTGTGGAAGTTGTGTGTGAGGTTGCAGAATTAGCATTTTGGAACGCAGAGGAGACGTGTTAATTCATGCAGCGTAAGGGGAGCCAACGCTGCATCTTAAAACAGGGCAGTGGGGGGTAAAGCAAGGATTTTTTTTTTTCCCCCTTTCTTTTAGTCTCTGGTGATGTGCTTCATTCATGGGTAGTTAAGTAACTCCCTACTAGAAAACCTTTTTTAGGAAGTTGTTTACTTTTGTTTTCAATGTAACTTACTCTCTTCCCTTCCCACCCCATCCCAGAAATGCCCCTCTGGAGTTTTCCATTGCTCACATATTTTCTTTGAGAGTGAGTAAATTGGATCAATTGGGCATATTATGAAGGAGACACTCGTCCTTTGAATGTTTCAGTTTCAATAATTGAAATGTGAATCATTTGACTTAGGTTTTGACTTTGCTTTTTTATGTGGTGTTGCTTATCAGTTAGCAAATCAAAGCAGAATAAAAGAAGTAACCCCAAACCCAAGTGCAGGAAAGGGCAGGTGTCAAAGCCAAGTTAAGACGTTGGTCAGGAATGGTGTCTCTCTTTCTGTGCAACCTCTAGGGCGTGTGGATAATCCTCAACATGCAGTTTTGGTAGAGAGGCAGCACCAGGGACTGATCCAGAGCTCCCTGAGCACCCACGGGGATTGCTGCCCAGTAGATGACGGAGGAGAAGTGCAGAAGAGATGTTTTCTTCCTCTCTTCCCATCTCCCCACTCCCGCCAAAGTCCCCAGACAAAACCAGACTGTGACTTATCATTTCCAGAGTAGCTCTGGATGACCCGGTGTGCTGAATTACAAGCCTGAGAAATGAGGGATTAACAATTCAGTGATTTAAAATCAAAATAATGTAAAATGACAACCAAAGCTCCCCTGTTGATTTCCCCTTTCTTTTTCCTCAGATTGACCCTAAAGTTGCGTTTCCCCGGCGAGCACAGCCCAAGGTAAGTAGAGGATCGATAATAGGATTTCAGGCACACAGAGAATCATTGTTGCCAGGCAGTTTGGGTTTCAGCCGGGGACTTGGCAATGGAAGCTTTTAAGGTCGGGTGCTGCTCTGGGGGGATCAGTGAGTGGCTGTGGCCCAGGAGGCGGCTCTGTGGCTGTGCAGAGCCGCTCAGCCGCGCTGGACAGCGGGACCGGCACCGCTGCCGCGGCCCCTCGGCTGCTCTGGGCTCTGGGCTCTGGAAGAGCACTTGAATTAAGTGCAGGCTTCAGGCTTGTTTTGAGCTGAGTTTTCAGTTCTGTGGTTGTGATGGATGGGGATATATCTCTGCCTTCATTGTTTGCAAATTTTCTTTTGTATAACTGGAGAGATGTGTGTGGAGCTGTGCGTAAGCCTCGGGTGGCAAGTTTCTGATGAGGCTGCGAGCTTTGGGAGCTGCTGGCTGTTCTGCATGAGCAGGGGAACAGTGAGGTGTGAGTGTCCAGCTGGTCAGGCTGGCCAGAGCAGTGGCTTGGCCATGGTGTGGCCAGTCCTCACGGTGGCACGGGGGTGGTTTAGGGACGCAGACACTTCTGCCTGTGCGCTCCCTCCAAATGCCACTGTGTGCCATTTCTCCTGAGGAGCTGCCTGTGGAATACAAGTGGTTGTTGCTCTTTAGGTTGTACCTAATGAAAACAAATCAGTTTCAAAGCCAAACTTGCAGCATGTGAATTTTGAAAGCCAGAGGCTGAAAGGAAACTTCTGTAATTGACTTTTTTTTAATTTATTTTTGAGAGTCTGTTGGAAAAACTTAATTTAACTGATGTATGGCACTTGTGTACGTGCTTGTCATGTTGGGTAACTTCAGTCTTCTGGTAAAAATGGGAGGAAAAGGCTGCAAAGTTGCAGATGCAAGTCAGTAAGTAAAAGTGGTTTAAAGTTGGTGCTGTGAAGCTGCCTGACCAGCTGCCTGAACTGTTGCTGCGTGCAGCCCCTCATGAAAGCAAGCAGTGTAACTGTGTGTGTTGAACCATGATGTTAAGTATTGCACAAAGTAGGCATCTAGGAAAAACCCAGTGTCATTTATAACCCCCAGACATAGCACAGGAGAGGTGCTGGATAGCTCTTAAAAAGAAGAGAAAAAGAGAGCAAACTCCAGAAGCCTACTCGCAGGATTTTAAACCAGACTGATGTAGGCAAATGTTTAGAGATTCTTTTCTTCCTAAGACGTATCTAATAACTAATTGGTGAATAATAGTGGGCCTGGATTGCTTCTGCACTGAGCAAAGAGTTTACAGTGTGTGGGGCTCGTGGCTTCTGGATTATGTTGTTGGATTGATGCCATCTGTAATATACAATTTGAAGTTACCAGAATTTTGATCTTGTGCTTGGTGTTCTTATCCCCCTTCCCAATACTTTTTAAAGGTTAATTTACATTTTAAACTGTCTTCAGTGCCAGTTATCTGTGCTTACAGTGTTATTTGGAGAAGTTTGTAATGCTTATAACAGAGCTGTTAAGCTGTCCCATGTGATTTCTTCTCTAACAATTAAAAAATCCAGGACTTCTTTTACATTGAGGATATTAGTGAGTTAAATTTTTGTGCTAAAGAATGCAAAATCAGGTTGCATGGACAAAGGGGATTTTGTTTTTCTACACGTAGAGGTTTTTTCCCGTGGTTTTTGGTAACAGACATCTTTCAAGCATGGGGCAAATGCTGGAATGGACGTCAAATTCCACTCTTAGCAGGAACTCGCTCTCTCTGGAGAGGTCAGCAGTGTCTGTTGCTGCTTTTTACACATTTGTCCTTTCTAAAGCATTGGGATTTCTATGGGGTACTTGGAAAAAATCTGAAGATTGAAAACAGCCTAATTTGGAGACTGGAGAAAATCAGATGCAATAAAGAGCAGATTTTACATCAATTATGATGTATTATTCTGGCAAGCATTTCATAATCTGAATATTTTGTTTTCTGTTTTTTTAATTAGATACTGAATTAAGATTTGGGACTTTAGTTGTTCATTTATCCCAGTTGAATAGCGAATGCTCAGCGTTAAAATGTGACTGTACTTTAGTCTAATTAACTAGCTAATGCTTGGGTCTGTGGAGATTAATGGCATTTAATGAAATGTCTCTGTCTCTCTCTAGGTGCAAGGGGAGAATTTGTTTTTTGTTTGTTTCTTTTTTTTTTTCCCTGAGTAATCTTCCTTCCTGGTATGTTGAGCAAAATGGGGATTTGTTTTGGGGTTGTTTTTTTTCTCCCTGTGATTTTCCTGGCAGTGATGGGGGCTGAGGTGAAGCAAGGTTGGGGCTGCATTCTCCCTTCTGGTGCTTCCTCCATCCATCCCTGTCCTTGCCGAGGACCCCTCTGTCCCTGCTCGGCACCACCAGCTCCTCAGTGGGCACGGCGGGGCTTTGCCCTGCCTTGGCCCTGCGCCGTGCTGCTCCTGCAGGGTCACGCTCGCTTGTTTCTCCCTTGCTGGTGCAGTGATTGCCCAGCCCTGCCCTTTCAGAGCCCACCCAGTAAAAGGCTTTCGGGGTTTTCAGCCCCCCCTGCGGTCTGACAGCTCTCGGGGGATGCGGATCCTGGAACAGCGCAGTGCTCTCCCCCGAGTGCCTCCGAGTGACCCTCGCAGAAAACGCTTGCTGGTTGCCTCCAGTGGATCAGGGGATGTGTAATCTGCTCTCCTTGGGAAGGCCAGGACAACTTGAAGCCACTGTTTTAGGAAATTTGCTGCGGGGTTTAACTCGTTGGGGTTCTGGTGAATATATGTCTCCTTCCTCAGGGCTGCTGTTCCTTGATAAAAATCTGTCTTGCTTCCGAGTGCTGGAAGGCACTCTGTAACAGGAGATCATTTATAACTCTGCTGACTTAAAAAGTCCTTAAAATGCAGCAGTGATGGGGTGCCAGTAGTTTTGTACTGCCTTTTGAATATTGAAGACTTAAGTAATTTGACTTATTATTATTAGCCTGCCATTTCTGATGTTACCTGCTCTGTTAGGTAGGAGAAGATTTACTGTATTTAACATGTTCATTAGATATTTTCAAATGTAAGCAAGTTACTCCCTCACATTTTTGCCTTAGGGATTTATTTCAAAAACAAACAAAAAACCAAATAAAAAGCCTGAAGAGCAAAAGGACAGCAGCCTTGGTCAATGAAGTAGCTCCTTGGCCATGAAAATGTCTTTCGTATAGGAATTTGGATGCTTTGTTGTGCAGAGCCATGTATGAAACAGAGGCAGGGGAAACTTCAGCCAACATTTACATTGGTGAGGCTGCCCATGGAGATGTGTTTTGTGCTCAGGTTCCTCCAGGCTGCGACTGAGGTGCTTGTTCTTCCTGCACTTACCACAGGGGCGTGATACCTGTGGCTGGGAATTGCTCCCAGTTGAGCAGGCTGGAGCTGCCTGCAGTGGGGTGCGTGGCATTCATGAGCACTGTGGATGTGCCCTGTGGCTGTGCTCTGGAGCCCTCCTGGAATGGAAAAGGCAGGGCAGGTAGCTGCTGCTTCTGCTGGAGCTGCTCCCCTGGGTCACTGGCATGGGCAGGCACTCGTGTCTGGTGTCCTGAGTGCAGGTGGCTGCTGCATGTTCTAATTTGGGGTCTGGTCTGCAGGGATTGTGTACAGAGCACTGGTGCCATTTGGTCACAAACAGCAGAAGGACTTGCTGAGAGGGGTGTTGTGCCTGGTACTGGGCTGGGGATGCACGACACCGATGCCTTTATGAGATGTGTCACTGCCACAGAGGTTGGTGCAGGAGCGTCCTGGCCCCTCTGTGCCCCAGCCAGCCCCGGATCCACACGGTGCCCGTGGCCAGCCGCGTTTCCTGTCTGGCTGGGCACGTGGGCTCGGAGCAGTTGTGCACATCTGGTCCTTCTTCTTGGGCAAGAGGCAGTGTCAACAGCTCTCCTTTCATGTGCTGCTGGTTAAAGCCATGTGAAGCTGCCTGTTCCAGCGCAGCAAATGGAGGGCATGCCCTTTTGGAATAACACCCAGGCTAACCTGGGATTTTTTTTAAAGCTAACCAGTGGATTTGGACGTCTGATTCCAATTAAGTTAACTGTGGGTGGGGTGTCTGCGTCCCTTGGCTGTCGGATAAGCCTCAGCCAGAGTAGCAGGGAGAGATTTTATTCCAAAGCAAATGATGGACCTTGAAAATCAAGAGTTCTGTTTGTTTTCTCCCCTGCTTCTGCCTGTAAACTCCTCTGCCTTAGTCCTGCTACTTCCCATCTTATTGTAGGTATGAAGTAGACTTTGAAGTTTCTTTTTTTTTTTTCCTCAAAAGAATGTGAACTGGACACAGTAGCAAAACTCAGGATTTTTCCTTTCCTGCCATCCTTCCTTCCCCACCAGGCTGTCAAGAGCAGCAAGGTCAGACCTTTTCCTGATGATTTTTTTTAAAATTCTTTTTAGATTCCCCTGCATTTGCAGGTCTGGGTGGAGTAAGAAAGGAAGTTTTTCCTGCTCTTGGCATCAGGCATAGATGTGTTGCTTGATAATAATAATGGTGTCATCTGTGTGAAGAGTAGTGTGAAGTCCTTCCCAGATGGTGTGACGGATTTCTTTGGGTGGTCCACAGCCACTGTTGGGGTGTCTTGTTCAACCAGCCTTGATGTGGATCCCTTGCCCATGGTAAGGTGCTCCTGGGATTTGCTTCCCTCTGGCACTGGATGGTCCAATGGAAAAGTTGCAGAGCCTAAGTCTTGGTGATGAACCCTGCTGCAGGCAGTGCAGACTCAGGGTGTTGAAACCCCTTGGTTTTGGGCTGGGGTTTGTGCTCCCTGCGGTGTGGCCAAGGCAGAGGATGATCTCTATCCCTGGATGTCACAGCCAGAGGAAGAAGGGGCTGTGCAGGGCCTTCTGTGGAGTGCAGTGTCAGAAACAAGAGCTGAACTGGATTTTTGTAACTATTGTTTTTTAGAAATGTAAACATTTATTTCTTCTCCCTAATCACTCAGGTAGATTGTTCATGTCCTGAATCCCCACAGACTGTCTTGTACTTGTTAAAATGTCTGTATT